ACACACACACACACACACACACACACACACACACACACACAGAGAGGAAACCTCCACACCCGGAGGTGCATTAGGAGCCATTTGTGTAAGACATGCTAAAGACATCAGGCTTTGTTCCATCAAACGCCTTTGAAAAGAAGGATGCCCAAAGCCAGTCACCAACTTCACAGAAACGGGGTCGTCTCCAGCGGGGGGCCAGGCTGAGGCGAGTAACGACCTGACAGCCCGACACTGGCTTCCCAACACCAGGAGGAAGGCTTTCCTGGTTCAAGACAGGCTGACAAGCAGGTACCGCGGCCCAGCCCTGCGTCACCCCGGCTGCTGGGCTCACGGCCAGTCAGCGCACGCTCTCCTGACCGGAGGTTCTCACTGGCTGTCAGCAGCAGGCGGCCAGGCCTTTCTCCTCTCTCAGTCGGGAAGGTCTGATTGAGCCTGTCCACTTCAAGCAACCCAGCTGGTACCTGCTGTACCAGTGACACAGCAGCATCCAGCCACCACTCTCCAACACTGCCAGTCACCACGGCAACCACGGAATCGCACAATTCATGCCCGTCCTCGGACAGACTCCATCACTGTTTCCCGCTCAGCTAAAAGTCAAGTGGCACCCTTCTCCTAAAGGCAAGGCCACCCTGCTCTGGAGCACTGCCCCATGGCCCACTGGACTGTGACGTGCAGGCACGCGCACGGACGGACGGACACACACCGTCGTTAGAGGAGGAGCTGTCTGAGAAGAGGGCCAGCCTCGGGGCCAGGAAGAAGCGGGGGAGAGCAAGAGGGGGTTCTTAAAGGTCCCCTGAAGGCGGCGGCAGAGAGGAGCAGGGGCCAGGGGTGGAGTCGGGGCTGCAGACCCTCAGCCTGCCAGTTGGGGATGCCAGAATGTCAAGGGCCCAGCACAGAAATGACATCTCCCCGGCACCCTCTTGTGGCAACCTGCTGCACAGTCCTGACTTCCAGTGTTGCCTGGGCTCAAACCACCAACCTCTGTGAGTAGAATGAAGCCATGCACGACCCAGACACCCTTCCTCTCAGCTAACCAGCGGCCACAGGCTCCTGATCCTGGCGGCTGTTCCGGGGAGAGAGGTAGCGTGGTCTGCTTCATCCTGAGTGGAGTGTGGTGGTGTTATTCAGACTCACAGCAACCACATGCCCTGCACCTTGCTCCCCACCAACAATCACACCCATCACAAAGTGGACCAAGACAGGACCGGCCTTTTCCCTGGAGACGACATGACAACGGCAAACAAGTACAAGAAAACATGTCCAACAAGATGAGCCACAAGACCAGGCCCTGGGAGGTGGCCCCTGGCCTCACAGCCTCAGGAGACACGTGTATGTGTGTGGGGAGAAGCAGCTCCTCTCCTCATCAGTGTCCACAGCCCAGGGCTGAGTCCCGAGAGGTGGCGAGGCCAGGTGGTCAAGGCCCAACTCCTCCCTCCAGCCTTACCACTTTGGCCACTGGCCCTTCTCTGGGGCTGAGAGGTCATCGCGATGACCACAGACCCAGCGCACAGTCTGTCAGTCAGGGCAGATGTGTCGTGTGTGGACAGTAGCCCCTGCAAGGCAGCTTGGGGCTGTGAAGCCCCACAGGAGCGGACTCCCTCACCTTGTCCCGAGGAGCGGCTGTCCAGCTCAAACCACCAACCTCGGGGTTGGCAGGGTGGCATTTAACCCACTGCACCATGGGCTTTGATGCTGAAACTTGGGAGGTGACAGGAAGCCCAAGCCCGTGACTGCTGTCCCCACCCTCCGACAGGGGCGCACGTGCTGGAGCTGGAGGCCTTTCTCCGCAACCGAAACCCCACGTGTCCGTGCTATGAGGAGGGGCCGATGGTGACCCAGCACGCTGTGTCTCTAGAGACAGCCCGGGTGTCAGTTATTTCCAGATGGGCACCTGTATGTATGCAGGTGAACAGAAAATGACCTGGAAGAACGTCATCAAATTGGTCCCCATCGCCACCTCCTGGTGAGGCGAGGATGGCAGAGCAGGGTGGGTCAGGGGCATCTGGGCTGTAACATCATGTCTGAACACAAGAATGCACACACTCAAGTATGACCTGTTTGGGGTTTGTTTGAAGAGGGGGAAAATAACAAAGCAAACACTTACTGCATTCATAGATCTGCTCCAGCTTATCCACAGAGGAGAGGGAGAAAAACTTATAACCGGACTTACTCCCAACCGCCAAGGACCTGCAAAAGAGCCAAACACAAAGGAAGAGTGGAGGTGCGCAGTGAGCACGCGCAGCTGCCTCCTTGCCACCCAGGCCCGACTGCCACTAGCCAGAGCCATGCTGGTCTTTGCAATCTGGGTCCCAGGCAGGTGTGTGGCAGCCAGCTGGAACAGGGGCAAGGGGGTGGGGGGTAGCCCAAGGAGACCCAGCTCACAGCCAGGAGAAGCCTGGGCTGGGGAGGAAACCAGGGCAGGCAATATTCTCATGGTAACCTCGGGCGATGGGAGGGCTGGGTAAGGCAGAGAAGCACTGCCAGTGTGTTGCACCCATAGGATAGTCCCAGCCCCATAAGAGGGCCTCCCAGGAACTCCTGAGACGGGTCCCACAGTCCCAGCCAGACCTCACTTACTGCCATCGTCAGCGACGACTCACAGGGACCTGACTGCACTGGGTATAACTGCCCCCTTGGGTGTCCGAGGCCGTAACTTGACAGTGGCAGTACACCCCGTCATTCTCCAAGGAGTGGTTGGTGGTTTTGAGCTGCTGACCTGTGGTTTACAGTCTAACGAGTGACCCACTGCGCCACCAGGGAGGGCTGCTGTGGCTACACAGCAGGGCCTGTGAGAGTCGGTCGGTCGCTGGGCAGGTCAGGTTGGGTCCGAGAAGGAAAAGGCAGCGCTCTCCTGCTCTTGGTCTACACCCTGCCACAAGC